TGACGTCTCATTCTCGGCCCCAATAATACGGTTGTGCAAAACTGGGTTGTACTCATCTATACCTACGTTTGGGGGAATGCAATATCGAGCCCTAAACCTATTAAACTGCTCATCTCCCTTCACTTTGTACTTCCCGAGCCTCGAGGAATTGGCCTAGGGATCCTTGGTGACAGGCCGACGTCGGGGCATCTCCAAAGAAGATAAAAACTACAGAGGAAGGACAAAGTTTTTTTTACGAAGATCCCCTAGGGGTTTCCTGAAGGTTGGTCACAGAATGACAACCAGAAACACCTCCGGTTATCAGAGAATCAAAAAACAAAAAAAAAAAAAGAGAAAGAAGAGAAGAAGAGACAGAAGGGCAGAGAGAAGGAAAATACAAGGACTCACCAGAACTTGAACGAAGGTTTTCTTCAAAACTTGGAGTGGTTCCTTCCTCCAAGAGGTTTAGAAGCAATGATGGGTTTGCTGACCTTAACACTCTAGTGAAGATTGGTTTGTAGACAACGTAAGGAAGTGGGTCTCCGACGAGATTTCAGGCGAAGGCTCTCTAAAGAGTTCAAAATGGCGACGTGAGAGGGAGAAAGAGGACCCATTTATATAGTACCCATCCCCATCATTGGGCACGAAGCACGAAGATGTGCATTTAATGCACACGACCTCCTAAGCGGAGAAAAGCGGCTAGAGGCAATGATGAAGTGGTTGGGGTAGTTGCAGAACCCTTCGTCTCCTTACGACGCGTGTCCTCGGCGTCAGAAGATTGAAGGCTGGGGGCAGTTGATGGGACATTTTTCGGACACTCCAAGATAGCAACACGTGTACTTGGTGTCAAGAAATACTCTCTGTCGTGATCACGATACGTGCTCGTCGAATGGGTGGGTACATTGGCCCTAACCATACTAGGCCCTCGACACCGATGTGTACCCACTACATCAGCATTCCTGTTCCTGCATGCCTATTGATAGACAGGTCATCAGCCTAGGCTAGGCTAGATTAGCCATCATAACCTGGTCTTACCTAGATGGTGTCATGACGCACAGGAAAGCAGAAGGCTCAACCAAAGAGGAGCTGGCACGTGGTGTACTATGTCAAATCAGAGGCGAAAAGACCAGAATGCCCTTGCTGACACACGACTTGGGAAAGCAAGTATTTAATGCACATTTCCCTTGATGAGACAACATTTAATGCGTGAAGACCCGGAAATGAAAGACAATGAATGATTCTATGACAGAGCATTTAATATATCTCAGCCGAGTGAAGGTCATTAAACGCTCAACAGACCGAGGGTGATGCATTGGTTGCTCGGGGTCCTGAGCAGTTAAGGAAAATGTCATTTCTCCTAAAAATCAGTGTGTACGTTACCTGCCTTTAATGATCACCTACTGACCATACTGACAACAATCATGAGTTTTTAAGGTATAAATATTCTTCACAAAACGCATGATGAGGTACGAAAAAACCTTTTCTCAAGCCTATACACAGTGTTTTCTTCTTCCCATCTCTAAAAAAAATGACTTGATCGTCGGAGGGGATACGCCAGAAAATACTCCGGCGCCCTCCTAACTCATTTTTCTCTGTTCCAGGAATCTTCCCTAGCCTTATAGGACCACCCCGGTGACCCACAAAAGTCACCAATTACCGTTTCAGGCTACCACTGGTCCTCACAGTTTGTTCCGCCCAACAAGGTTGACCATTCGATTAACTGACTCGTGTTCACCACGGGAGAGATCTGTTCTCGTGTTTATATTGTGTAAGATCCTGCACGCACAGAGTAGGCGAATGACTTGTAAGTTTTATGCTCCGTTTGATATGATGGAAAAATATAAGGGTGAAAAGTTTGAGGGATAAATAAAACATCATGTTTGGTAAGGAAGGAAAACAGAAAGGATGAAAAAAATGGATGAATTAGCTTTCCTTTCAATTCACCAAAGTCAATCCCTCCAAAATCAGAAGGAAAGTAAATAAAAAGTTAATTATTTGTGTTGAGATGTATATATATATATATATATATATATATTTAGTAAAAAAATAAAAATTAAAAATTTAAATTAAAAAAAAACATGTATTTCATCTTAACTAAGGATGAAAATTTTCGACTCAACACGATGACACAGCTCGAACTTGATTATAAATCAACACAAACTTGAGAATAACTTGACACGTGAAGAAGAAATATAAAAGATTCATAATTTTATGACTCAACACGAATCTGACACGACTAGATTATCACCCCTAATATTAGACAAAAAAAATTAGTCATTTTTATTTTTTATCCATTCAACTAAACACGAAGGAAAGAAAGTGTATAATTCTTACTTTCCATTTTTAAAGGATAGAAAATGTATCCCTCATAGTTTTCATCTTTTCTACCAAACGAAGCATTAGTGTATGAACTGTAAATTATACATATGCTTAGGCTCACAAACAAATCAAATTAAGCCGAGTTTTAGACAATCCGGGTTAGAATCAATTTGTTCATAAAAGAGGATTTGAGCCGGACCTGGATTGTGACAAATTTCAAAACATTGGGTTAAAATTTGATTTGTTGATTTTTTTGTTTAAATTTGGACTCGATTTGTTTTATTAATAAATTGAATGAGGTTAAGGTCAATCTTAAACTCGTATTTAATATTAAGTTTGACTTATTTATTTGCATATTTACATAACAAATCCTTATTCTGAAGTTGACTTATTTATAAAATGAGTTATAAAAAACAATCCGAACACAATTCATTTGATAATTGATTAAACCAAAACAAATTTTTATTTGTGTACAGTGGGCCAGACGACTTTGGTTTACGCCAAACTTTTAGGTTTTTGGACCACGCTATTAGATCAATGTACACACAACTTGTTATTGAAATTGCACCGTTCATGAAAGAAATGGTCCCTCAAGACTTTGGCACATGCGCGCGCGTACACACATATATATGGTTTGCCATTAAAGGGATGGTTTTGTATTTACCACCGCACCTCTAATGCAGACAATTTCATTAAAATAGATAATTATTTTTAAAATGTATTTTAAAATCGACTTTCTCATTCACGGAAGAGATAGCGGAGAGTAAAAATCTTCATCCTTGCTTGCATGGATAGAGATTAGAAGTCCTAGGATGTATATTTGTGCAGACAAATAACGTGACGGAAATTGAATTACTTATTCGATTATTAACCGTAAAACTTTTTAGGAGGAGCCCCTATAAGTCACGCTAATAGCAAAATTAGGGAGCAAGAAGAGAATGAAACGTGCACTTGGATGGTATCAAACAAATCCTATTTCTTTGGAACACCTTTCCAACACATACTCATGTTCAGATCTCTAACATCGAGGGCCAGACTCTCCTTTGGACCACCAAAACTCCACAAAAAAAAATATATATATATTATTTTAAGAACAAAATTGAAGATAGTTATCAAAAGAAAATGATTTTTTTGTAATAGGGTAATATCACGTATATTTGACTCTTTCAAACATTGCAATAACAAGATGCTCATGCACTAAAATATATATTTTTTTTAATTGAAGATGGTCGGAAGTAATTGTATTGAATTTTATTTTTCATGATAGGAAGTAATTGGATTGGATTTTTTTTTTTTTTTCATGAGAGGGAGTGATGCATAAGCAATATAATTCAATTATGGAATTACAAACCAATCATTCTACACTACTAGCAGATCAATCCACATTATAGATAGAGAGGGGAGTATCATAAAAATGGGTGAAAAGATCTGGATAGAGGTACAAGAGAATAGCTAAAAATGGATAATAAAAAAAATAAAACCAATGCTTATCTTTGACAATAATCGATATTCTGAAAGCTCATTTAAATGGCGAGCTAAATTAGACTCAATTGCTTCTGCATTAGTATTGCTTAGTGATGAATTCCTTGACTTGGGAATGATCACACTAAATATTTAGAGTATTGCTCAAAAGCATGCTAGATTTAAATTTGAAATGATTTCAAGTGAAATAAAAAATATTAAGATTAATCACAAATTGCACTCGAAAAAGTTGTTTGAATTTTAATTTGTACCCTCAAATATTAAAAATCTCAATTTATACCCTAAAAGATATAAATTTATATCAATATGCACCTGAAACTAACAATCATCAGTTTGTCGTCTAAAATTAAATAAATAAATTATACCTAGATCCATACATACATGTCACTTAATCATTTGAACCTCTCACAAGAATAATATTTCTTTTATATTTCTTGACGTTTGTACATGTGTAATACATACATAATTTATTTGTCGTTAATATCTGTTAATATAACCATTAAAAAATATAATTTCAACATAATAAAAAATTATAATTTTCATACTACTCTTTATTTTGTGGGCCCATTTACTCTAACATTCAAAATCAAACATACAATTGGAATGACTAATATAATGCAAGTATTTATATAATATTCTTTATATCAAATACAATACATCATTTAAACAGAATTTTTTAAATAACTAACTGGGAGAACAAATAGAATTAGTTTTTATCGCAACCCATTCCAAGTTACCATCAATCCATTCCAAGTTACTCATCAATATCTCCATTCAATTCTAATTCTTCTTATTCGGTAACTAATAGATGGCAATTAATAAATAGAACATACTCAGAATATTTAAATGAAATTTGTTAAATATAAATTGGTCTCGCATTACATAAATAAAAATTATGATATAATTTAAGAGTCACGTGTTGTACATGTGAAAAATTTTGTCAAACTTAGCGATATATTTAGATTAAAGGGCCATATTAATAAAAATGTTATATTTCAGGGCTAAATTGACATAAAGTATAATTTAACGACTTGATTAACATAAATAGGATAATTTAAAGGTCAAAATAAATAGTTAATTCAATTCCAAATGTTCGTTAAAAACAAGATAAATAAATAATGAAAATTTTCTTGACAAAACCGGTTATTCCCGGTTTCCAATTTGCACAGACCAAAATATGTGCACTCTTAAAATGGGGCTGATATGTTTCTTCACACGTCCCATCTCTCCTTCTTTCCCCTCTCTCTCTCTCTCTCTCTAAACTGTACTTTCTCTCTCCAAACCAATCTCTGTATTCCGTGTGCTTTCTTTCTTCTCTATAATTGGCATCGCATAGCCGGCAATGATTTCATTTCGAAGTCGAAAGCATCACTGAGAGGCGATTTCGGATACTTCCGTTTCTCTCTCTGGAATTTGCCGGACAACCTCTCTTTTAATTCTCTCCGGTCGCCGGCGATATTTTTCAGTAACTTCTTTTTGTTCCGGTAATTTCATATATGCATATCTACGCATTTCTGAAGAGAGAGTTTGTGTTATTCGTAATTCTCTTTCTATATATGGTCAAACTCTCGATCATTGATTCTTCAGTTTTCAAGTTTTCTCTCTCCTCGCTTCATTGAAAATTTTAGCTCCGAATCTCGGTGGTTTTTTCAGTGCTTGATAGTCGACGATCATCTGAATTTTCAGATCCGATTGATTGTATTTACAGCTCGATTCGTTGAACTTTTCTTGCTAAGCTCGTTGATCGGTTACTTCGTAGCTCAATCGTTGAAATTGTACATACATACACAGATATATACACAGAGATATAACTACATATACGTATATCGGGAGCGAAGTGAAGTGATAGAGAATCATGTTGGATCTCAATCTCAGTGTTGTCAATGATGAAATCGGAGAGAAGTTTCCCGAAGGCTCTATCGGAAGTCAAATGGACGAATCAGCAACTTCGAATTCGTCAATTGTGAATGCCGAAGGTTCGAGCAATGCCGGCGACGACGATTCGTGCTCTGCACATGCCGGAGACATCTTTGCCTGCAATTTCGATATCCTGAAGGTTGGAGATAACTCGAGCAAAAACAACGATGCGGAAGGTAGCGCAAATCAGAGGATGAAGCCAGAGTTTGTGACTCGGCAGCTATTTCCAGTGAGTGGAGATACAGGTGGTGAGTTAACTCAGGGGCAGATTTCGGTACATCCAAATTGGAATGATCTCTCGTACAGTCAAGTCGGTTCTGGCCCTTCTGGAGGACTACAAGAGATGAGAATGGAACAACATCAACGGCAAGCTCAAAAGCCGGTGAAGAAGAGTAGGAGGGGACCGAGGTCTCGCAGCTCACAGTACAGGGGGGTGACCTTCTATAGAAGAACTGGTAGATGGGAATCGCATATATGGTGAGTCTATGATTTCATTAAATCATGTGTGTCTCTTCGTGTCAAATGTTTGTAATTCTACTTAATTCTCATTATTGACTTAATTTGATTATCCATTCGTGTATTTATGTAGATTTTTTTGGTGTAGGGACTGTGGGAAACAAGTGTATTTGGGTAAGGACATAACGCGTACAACTATATCTGTTTGATTGGTTTTGTCTCTACTTAGATCTTTACAAAACAAGTAGTTGTGTTTTTCTATTTTTGGTATACTGATGAGTTCTGATGTTGGGTTGTGTTAGGTGGATTTGACACCGCTCATACTGCTGCTAGGTAATAGCTGATTTATAGATGACAAATAATTGGTCTCATGCTTTAGCTTAAGATTTAAGCTGTTATGTTTCTTTCTCATTCAATTGGGTTTTCTCAATTCTGGTATCAGAGCCTACGATCGAGCAGCATTAAAGTTCCGGGGTGTTGATGCTGATATCAATTTTAATCTGAGTGATTATGAGGAGGAAATGAAACAGGTTGCTTTATGCAAATGTTTTTTTTTTTGATCAAACTTTATGCAAATGTTGAAATCAGATATTTATATCATCATCTGACTTGTGACTACCAAGAAGATAATCAAGTTAACAATATAACTTTACCATTATTGTTTCTTCTAGTGGCTAAGATTAGGTTCTTAGCTATTTCTGAACAATTGCAGATGACGAATCTGACCAAGGAAGAATTTGTGCACATACTCCGTCGAGGGAGCACTGGTTTCTCGAGAGGGAGTTCAAAATATAGAGGGGTGACACTGCACAAATGCGGCAGATGGGAAGCTCGAATGGGTCAGTTTCTTGGCAAAAAGTAAGGAACAATATCATTGAATCTACATTCTAGGTTGTTTTGTTTTTAGGAGTTGCTATGGAAGATAAGGATTTTTGAGTCCCTGTTACTGCGAATCTAAAATTATTGTGAATAATTCTCAATTGGATTTAATTCCCTGTCTGGAAAACAATTTTATGAAGCATTTTTGACTTAAAAAAAAAAAAGGCATGATTAAGGACCCAATCTTTATCATGGGAATTACGATACTTCCATTGCAGGTATATATATCTTGGGCTATTTGAGAGTGAAGTAGAAGCTGCAAGGTCCGAATGATCATGAATTACCTTCTCTCCCTGATGTGAATTTTTACCCCCTAAATTCTGCCTCAATAGGGTGTCATCCAACATGTATCTCCCTTTGGCTTTTCTGAAAATTTAGGGCTTATGACAAGGCGGCTATCAAATTCAATGGAAGGGATGCAGTCACCAACTTCGACTTGAGTACATATGAAGGAGAGATGATTTCAGAGTCCCAGAATCAAGGTATTGTTTAGTCATTAGTGCATACTTGGTTTTCTATTTCGCTTTCAGAAAACTTAATGACTAGTCATTGGAGATACTATATATTAGATCTCTCATTGATTTGAGAAGGGACATGAGTTTCTCCATGCCTTCAATGCAGGTAGCAAACACAATCTTGATCTGAACTTGGGGATTTTGAGCCCTTCATTTGAACATGGTCCAAAGGAAAATGAAAATTTGGGGCGATCCCAGTTCCATCCTTATGATGTGCATGATGCAAGGAGATCTAAGGTATACTCACTGATGTCTACATATATATATATGCAGCATACATTTGTTATTGAAAATTTCATTTGCTCTGTTCTGTTATCCACCATGCAAACTGGAAATGTGTTTACACAGTTGAGGGAGTGGAAGCCTATTGGCATAGAATCCATTTGATTTTAGCCAACTGTTGACGAGACATATGGTTTGGTTTGTTAACGGAGCGGATTTGGACTTTTCCAATCCGAATCGGAATCTGACTTGAAATGTCTTTTAACTCTTTTGCCACATAGCTTTGAAATTTGTGGTGATCTCTTTGCCACTCCCTCTTGAGTCTGAAGCTATGGTGATCTATTTTTCCTCTACCCTCTGCAATGACAGATGGAGAACAATGCTACGTCAACTGTAGGCAATCCACCTCTTAAGGGTCTACCAGTTACAGCTCAGCACCCTTACTTGTGGACTGGTGTATATCCTAATTTCTTTCCCAACTACGAGGTAAATTTATTGTACTGATTTATTAATATATAGGTTGACTTGAATTCAATTGTCGTTCTAGCTGAGTACAATATGTTTGTGATTTTCTCATAGCAGTGTCTTAATACAAGGCTTCCAAACTAACTTTGTGCCGCTATTTACCTGAAAATGAGATTTATTCTTATTGGAGTTGATCAGCACACAGTGATTTTGGAACATGGAAAACAATGAAAATGAGACTGTGGTAGTAGAATAGAGCTTGTGCCAAGGACATCAGAGTGTACTTAAATTCATTGCAGCAGCAGTTATACATTCATGATTTAGATACTGACTCGACAATCATATATGGGACTTGATAAAGTGATTGACACTATCTTCAAGTTAGAATTATCGACTACAGGATTATTGTTGTGGGAAATTTTAGCAAGGTGATCTGGTGTGATGTGTGTCGGTCAATGAAACTGCACATGCACCGACTTGCACCCTTTGACAAGTAGTGTGTTTTAATGGAAGTCTCGGGAGAGGATGAATCATTATGAAGAGGGAAGGAGGAAGATGAATATCTTGTTCCTGTGTTGGCCCAACAGCAAAATTAGTCACGATGACAATCTTCATGTTGAAGTCATCCTAGGTCATGACGAAGCTTTTAAATGGTTTTGCAGGAAAGAACAAACGAGAAAAGAATTGAAGTAGGTTCTTCACAAGGACCCTCAAACTGGACTCGGCAAATGCATGGTCAAGTCAGTCCCAAGCCAATGCCATTGTTCTCTAGTGCAGCATCATCAGGATTCCAATCTCCGGTAACCACTGCTCTCTCGGCTTCCACTTATCAATCTAGAGCTCCTAATCCAACAGCCCTCAATATGTACTTCTCTTCATCGGCTCCGGCTGCCGCCAGCACCTCTCAATATCATTACCAATTGAGGCCTGCACCACCACCCCCATAATCAGTCCAGTCTTTGCATTGAAGATGAACAGGCAAGTACATAAATGGAATTTGCATTCTTTTGTAGTTTTCGATTAACAATCGAAACTCATCATAACCTGCCTCTGATTTCTTTGACTTAATGTTGATATATTGCTAATCCCATTTATCTTACTGCACGGCATTATACATTATTCGATTCTTTTCTCTCTTTTTTTTTCGGTTGATGAATGTAAGTGTTTCTAGTTTTAACCTCCGCAAATGCTATTTTTTTTGCCCTTTTCCGAAATAGATTGGGAAACTATTAAGTTCTATCGCCTTTTTTATAGGGGACACGCAAGTCCTATATTTTTAACATCATTACTTCGTAGTCTTAATGTTGCAATCAACTTCCTTGCACCTTAATTACGGGTTGACTTGTCGCACAAATATCAGACTCTTAGATCCGTATTTTAATATGGGTCGAATGAGGTGCACTGCTGATCGACCTTTGATCTTCTTAGAAGGGTTCGAGTGTGAGCAATGTCTGTCGGGACTCGAACAATGGTAAATTATGCTCGAGCGGGGGGCGAAGCCAATGGAAACTCTGGTGGAGGTCTATTCATGTTTTTCGAATATAACACGAAAATGATGTATTTTATATATTTTTTAAAGTGCTATGAAAACAACAATTTTTATGGCAATTATATTGTTCATTTTTTTTTTTCTAGAATCTACCGAAATTGGTTACAAAATATTTTACTAGAAGTTGGATTTCTTTTCCTAAAAAATTATAGGGTTTCATTAATTTTGCAATGGGAAATTTGGGATTCCTCTCTCTCTCTCTTTTTTTATTTTTTCAAATACTGTTTCGGCATAACATAGCCCCAAATGCTGATAGTTAAAAGTTTATCCTACGTGTAGGTGCGATATTTGTTGTACCCATTATCGTGACTTTGTCCAATGTGTATGATGAAGATAACAGAATCGGATGGTACTGTTCATGGCGGCAAAGTGTGATAAATGTACTGTCAAATCAAAACAACCACCTCTTATCTCTCTCTCTCATACGACCTGCAATTGCCGGTCTTCCTCCCACTATTTCCTCTGAGAGATCGAGATATTGTTTACAAGCAGATTCCTCGTTCACATATTTTGAATAATAAATAAATAAATATTAAAGAATGTCTGAATACATTACTTTCTTTGCTAGTTGTGAAGATGAGTTAAAATCCATATTCTTCACACTATTTTATTGGATGATGAAAGATACTTTCTTGATAAATGTTTCTACTTTAATCATTGATTTGATTTGAATTTTGTATATTCATCAATTATGAAAATATTAAGAAAATTTAAACTATTACTATCAAAATTATGTGTCATGTTCTACTAAAAAATAATTTTTTGATAGTATTTTATGGGGTGTCGAAACATGATACTTTTAAGTCTTCTTTAAATCATACGTTTAGTAAATGAGTAGATTCAATAAGATTAGAAAATAAATCGGGTGTGAGTGAAGTCAATTAAGAGAAATATATAATACGACTCATTTATATATTAATTATATACAGTTAATATACGACACGAATATAATATGACACAATTTGTTAGACACGAATTAATAGACGAATCAGATATAGGTGAAGTGTTTTTTTGACACAAATTTATTAAAATTTGACACGAATTTATTTCACCTGATATAAGTGACAGGTTCACTGTATAGTTGAATAAAGTTTGCGGACCACTAACACCATATTGTACCCCCTTTTTTTTTATTTATATTCTTTTTTAGATTTTGAATTATAATATATAGAAGCAGCCGAAGAAAGCTGAGCACAGGTCATATTCAATTGGGGGGGGGGGGGGGGGGGGAGGGAATGGATGGAAACGTTGTGATGATGTTTGTTAGATATTGAGGAGAGGAGGACAACATATTCTGGTGTGGGCGCCTAGCTCCGTTGCTTAGAGATAAGTGGGTCTCGAAAATTGTCTACCATAAAAAATGATATTATGCAAATATCGATAGGTTTTAATAAGATTTTGGTATGATTTTAATTTTAATGGGAGTGAATCATACTCATATGTTTTAATCTGTAGGCTCTCTTAAGAAATGAAACGTGTATTAACTAATTTTGCACCGCTTGACATGACTTGGAAAAATTACAAATGCGGCATGATACATTCATTTGCAACATAATTAGTTGATCTAGAACATAATCAATACGAAATTAGTTGATACGATTGTTAATCTATTAACCAGCATAAGAAATGGACCATTATTTTTTTTTTAAATCCTCTTTATTAGTTCAAAAAAACAATCTATCGACCTTTTTTTTTTTTTAGATGCTGTTAAATAGATCTATTATGCTTATCCTCTGTTTGATAGGATGAAAAATAAGTAAATGGAAATGGGAGGAAGGAAAAATTTTCCCTTGTTTGGTATGGAAAAAAATAAGGTGAAATGAAAAAAAAAGGATGGAAAGATATTTCACTCTACCCGCCAAAAAACATCCGCTCACTTTTGGGTGGAAATGGGAGATGCAATAGAAATGATTTTATATTTTTTTGAATGTATTCGTAGTTCTTTTCAATCCTCTTATATTTTATGCAAATAAAAAAAATATTTTTTTTATCGATGAGGGTATAATGGTAAATAAAATTTGTGTTTCCTTTTCTTTTATTTTTTATTTGATGAGGGAAGCCTTTAGATCTTAATAGGAATTTGGAACACGTTGTGGACCATTGCTCTGTTGGACTGTAATGACCCTACATATTTTAAAATCCATAAAAAAAACATTATTATTTTGGTGCTAGGATTAGAATTTAGGTTGGTGGGCCCACGTAGATCTTTTTGCATCCTTAAATAAACATTAAATGTGTGGCGCTGAATGAGACAGCCAATGAGTGGGGTAGTTTGATGTAACACAGTTGTCTGCAACTTTGTCTTTGTCTCAATAGTGGGGGTGAGTTCATTTTTCTAATGCCATAAAAGAAAGGAGTTGGCTGTTTTAAGGAGACAAAAGAGTACTGTAAATACTGTAGTAAGATATCAGGAGAATAATTACAGTGATTAAGAAACTACTTAATTGAGCTTATATTTTTTTTTAATTAATCTTTTTTTTTTAAGGAGGGAGAAGGGAAGGAGAAAATGTATTTGAACACTTGAGTTCAAGAAAGTAAATTTTTACAAGATAAAAAATACTATTAGACTAAATGACCATTAATACTTAATTGAACTTATAGCACCATGGTTTAAAAGTATATCTACGACCTATAAGATAGTTCAAATAATAATAAAAAAAAATTGTAAATTAAAATGTCTCAAGTTTGAATTTTTATAATTTTTTGTGGTCAAATAATAAAAAAATTATTTCTCATGAATTTTTAATTCCAACATAGATGACTTGTCTTTGATTAAATTAAAAAATAGATTAATTGATATACAATAAGTGATCTAAATATTTTTTACCATTGAACGAAAAAAAAAAAATAGATCTACATCAATAATGACTGGTAAAATAATATCCGGCTCATTACTTTTTGTTTCAAGATGGATACCCATTCAATAAAAATACCAAGTACCACTCGACTTGTGATCGAGTCGAAGACGTTTTAGAGAACTCGGTCGAATCATTGATCTACAATGCCGCAATACCCTTATACAGTGTTGTGATTTAACTCAAATTTCTTATTATGTCTACCCTCTTTCTCCATCCAGCATTTAGACCAATACCTCTACGTTAAACCATATATAAGACTGATTGAGCATCTAAAAATGTGGATTTTTTTTTGTTTAACGGAATATTCGAACCAATTTATGCGTATCTTAACTAATCCTCTCTCGATCCGATTAAAGACAGGTTATAAATCCAAACGTCATGTTTTGTTGGATGAGCTCTAATGCTCATTTATTGGATAGATGTTGTATTAGTAAAAAAAAACCAAAGAATTAGTCAAGTGAAGTGTGCTTATTTGGGAATTCCAAAAAATGAAATGCACTCATAATATATATACATCTCTCCAAAATTCAAACCATTTTAATGTTTTTTGTAGAGGTATTAGCCTTTACAGCCACTTCTGTTCATGCAATTGCATGTTCTTGATATATCCCAAAGCAGCAATCATATAGATACACCAATAGCAACCACCCCTATTCACGAGAGTTATAGTAAATTAGGGTGTTACAAAAAATAAAATTTAAAAATAATTAAATAAGTGATATTAGTTAGACGAATGAAAGGTGATTACATGGGTATGTTACGGAATGTCATTGGAAAAAACTTGTAATCCAACAAACATAATTAACTTTTCATCTACTTTTTTTTTTATTTTAAAAGAATTGATTCTAATGAGTTATAAAAAATAATCAATTCATTTTTATTTTCTTCCATACAAAACAATTTTCTTTCTTTACAAAACATAAGTACTGAATGCTTTAATCTCATGCTACGCCTTGGGGCTAACTTTTGTTAAAAGTTTCGCGATAAACGACAACAAAATAGAAAATATTACTTGATATATCCTGATATGTGATTTTTGCCAACCCCCTTTAGATTTTCTATTTCTATTAGGCTTATATTTTAAATCATCTTAGATTTATAATACTTATCTCCAACCTTTTCAGTCGGTGTTTATTCCGAGGGCTAATAGTCAGGTGATCTGAAACAAATTTGAGAGAGCCAAAAAAACTTAGTTTTTTTAATCAAGTCTAAAAAATTATTCAAATTTAATTCATTTAAAAAATAAGTCAAACAAACCTGAACGATCCCAAAACGAGTCAAGTCCGCATCAAACCCAAATATTCGCATATAAGCGAGTTGAGCCAATCAAATTCGAGCCGAGCCTATCGCGCTTATTTTTCAAATGAACCTAAACAATCATTCAAATTTGACTTGTTTAAAAAATGAACCGAACTTAAACGAGTCAGACTCAAGTACCTTGGTTTGATTAACAGCCCTATTCATTCCCTTTATCTAAAGGTCCTCAATCCACATTGTACCATCATCAAACAACCTGAAACAGAAATCTCTCTCTCCCCCCTACAATGTTATTTCTCCACAACTTTACCCCCACCTTTTACCTACTTTAAGATTGCACGACTTTAATTGTCAGGCTGCAAAATCAGAGTAAGGGTCACAGAATAGTTCAAGGAACAATAGGTATTCACAATATTACATCATTGACATCACAAAATACCCAGCACGCTATATGAAAATACCAAGTGTCTAGCAGTAACTGAAATTACAAGTCACTTAACCGGAGAAAAAAAACCGAAATTATAATTTATAAGTTTCGATTTGCCCTGTCATCTCAACAGTGCAGACAACAAAAAAAAAAAAAGCCATGAACATTAATTAGGAAAGCTTTGGTCTTCGATGCTTTCAACTTTTACTCTAGAGACCTTTCAATTTCAACTACTTGGTCTAACATTTCAAAAAGCTAAAACATCTTTTTTTGACAAAAAAACGTATATGCTGATTTCCTACTAAACCTTCAAATTTGATTAACGTTAGCGATGGGATAAAAATTAAATCAAATTGAGACCATTTGATTATGATATTACCCTGATAATCTCTGCAAGGAGCAGTACAATCAAGATATGGAGATCACCTTCCAAATTGATTGTATGCAGCATTCTTTCTTCAACCTCCATGCAGGCATCAATCTCGGCTTCCATTCACTGCAAATCACAATAATGATAAGATCGTAACAGCTGTGTCACCTATACAAATATAATCATCCTATAGAAGGTATTGGCCATCCCACATAAACACAAAAACCAATAAACAGAAACCCCCACACCCTGTTACATGCAAAACAGTAGAATGGGGTTTCTCCACCCTTTAACCCACCTATATGCCTGTACAGGAAATCATCAAAATATAGAACTTATCGTTAAAGAATTAATTTTCAGGGATCACTCCCAACCTTGAGGGCCAGTGCATCAAGTTTCAACCACAGCTCTCATTCAAGCAATAGATTTTGAAATAAAACAGATCGAATCATTTAACAACTATGTGGGTATGATGGAGGTTGGACACCTAGCTGTGATATTTACAGGACATTATTCTCAGATATATTCAAAAAGGTTGATCCTTACTTGTTGGCTTCCAGAAACCCTGTTCAGAAGGTTGATCCTTCACCAATCTGCCATAAGTCAGACCAATCACAAGTCAATATCGTCCTAACCCAAGCAAGACACCCAATCATTCGGCTTTACCATTTATGCCATTACCAACCAAGCAAAACAAGTCTCTTTCATAAAATTAAATCCCAAATGTTCTATTATACATGCTGCTGCCTGAACTGGGCCTCCGGAACTTTGAATCCTCATAACCATTATAGAACTTATTATATCCCACTCTCTCAGTTCTGAGGAGTTCTGACATTCCGAAATCATTTCCACCTTGCAGTTCATTCCAACCATCCCAGTGGCCATTTGACATGAGACCATTTCTGGACTGTGAAAGACCAAGTTCTGGGAATGGGGACAGATTATTGGTCAATGTTTGCTCCCTAATCCTCGAAGGAATCCCACATGCATCATTAAGAGCAGAAAAATTATTCCCCATTTCTGCAAATCTCTGGTTCTGATGCGGAGAAAGTGATCTTTGCATCAATAAGTGAAGTCTTGCCTCATTCTCGAACGTACTGAACTGTGTAGGTAAATCTGATCTCATGTCTAAGCCAGGGTTGTTGATGCCACCTGGAAGTCTCCCCTTACCAACTGCCAAAATTGCAGGATCCATAAACTCAATCTCCCCAGGGCTACCAATAGTTCCAGCTGGCAGAGCTTGATAAGGGTTTTGTAACAAGGAAGAGGTGTCTAGCATATGATTCCCTGCAAAATAGGGAGACAAAAAGGAATATTTAAATTCAAACAAGCATTACTAAAATGGGTGTTCTTTTTTTTTTTTGCACAAACAAATATGCTCAAAAAAGTTGAAAGAAGGTACATAATAACCAACCAGACATTGGGTCAAAAGTCTGTTCCATTCTCTCATGAGAAGTAAACCCTGGGGGTGGTGCTCTGCTGGGGACCGTAAATCCAGGGGGGGCTGATATCTGAGCTCTTAAACCTGTTTCAAAACATTGGAAAAGAGTAACTTAGAAAAGTGACAGGCAAAATCCCATGCAAAGCAAAGAGGCACACACAAAATAATATCAACGTCTGCATTCTAGTCATAATGATATATCTCAGAACAGCCATGGTTATAGGTATCATTTTGTCAAAAGATGACAAATGAAGAGCTATACATAAATCCCACAATCAATTTCCATATACAGTTTGAGCAAAACATGTAAGCAACTCTCTTAAAGCCCCTTTTGAAGACAAATTAGTCCGTTCATTCAGGAGGCGTATCATAATGGAACATTTTTTTGCAGCAGAGTAGGTAATAGTCAATCTCAAGAAGCAGACAGTTGTTTAAATAAGACAATTTATGGTTAGCACCTTTGTCATAAGATATAGTCGCTTATACCTGAATAATGAGTATATATAGACACTTAAATGCAGCCAAATATTAGTCTGGCTCTTTCGAAAGATAAAAACATGACAAAACTAAACGGCCAGAAGGTCGCTTATTGAGCACTTACTCGTGACGAAGAAAACCTAGTGAATACACCCCCAACATCATAATCATAGTTACAATGCAGGTTAGCAAAACAACATATAGGTCAAGAGGCTGCGGGGCTATGATGAAGCAGTACTAGGTCATTTAAAAAATCATGAAAGGTAGCACAGGAAAACTTCCATAGAGGAAGACAGCAACAGAATGAATAGAATCATTTTATGCTCTCTCACCACGTAGACATTACTTAGAGAGAGAACTCACAACTCGTCTGTACTACATAATCAGAACTCCAAAGACAAATCAGCATCTGTCCAACTCAATTCATTTGCTGTAGTCTTTTGATGGGTGAACAATGTAACAAAGACCTTGTCTTCCTCCAAAAATTCGCATTCAATGCCTTCATCAAGCATTAAAAATTCAGTATTTTGACAAGAAAATATCTCACCAAAGTGGCCAAAGGGTGCATAAAGATATCCCAACACATTGCCTCCAGAATCACCACCAACCCCCAATGAACCCCCACATAAAAACACCGCAAGGAGTAAGCTCTCCAATAACTAACCCTTTTCCAACAATTGGAAAGTTTCACATGCAAGTATGAGATATTGGACTCCGCAACTTGACTTGCTATAGCAAGATTGCAACCACTACTGACTACGTTCCCACTTCTCCATTGTGTTTTGAACTTGACAAGCTAACTACTACCCCTGGTGCTAGTGTTTACCCTTTGCCACAAGAATACTTATGCTAATCCGTGAACTCATCATTGGAAGTGCGCATGTGAGGTGCACGGATATTAAACCACCAAGTCATTTTGCACGCACTCCTACTCATAATGCACGAGCTGCCCATGAATATCCGGAACTTGGGAGATAAAAGGTGAAAGAGGAGTGAGTGACAACAGCAAAGAAGGAAGGCTTCATATGACAATGTCCCAAATAAGAACCACACATATATGGAATATGAATACTAATACACAACATCAAAGTCCATAATTAAAAATGAAATGGAAAGAATGATGGAAAGAAAAGAGAATTCATGTCAGAAATACAGAAAAACAGCACCGTCCATGTTGCCAATCCGCTATAACTCAGTACAAGAAAATATTTATTTTCAAAGTCTCAAATAAGAGCCACACACATACATATATGGAACACAAATACGAACACACAACATCAAAGTAAGTCCATAAATACAAAATAAAATGAAAAGAATGAGGGGAAAAAACAGGGAATTCATGTCAGAAATAGAGGAAAACAGCACTGTCCATGTTGCCAACCTGCAGTATAAGAAAATTATTGATTCATGTCACATACAGTTACGACACATAAGAAACACATTATTTTTCTAGGAATCCCAAACAAAGGAAAAAGAACATTTATGGGAAAAAAAATCATATAAAAGCCAAGTGAGAGAAGTTCATTCAGAGACTATCACAGAGCCATGAATTCAAAGACAACGGAAAATATAAGAAAAATAAACCACAATATGTAACCAAAATTATAATTTCACCTGAAGGCTTGCTAGAAGAGAGATGGGAATGGCTGCTGGCAAAATTATCAGTTTCGTCATAATTAGCAGATGAGAAACCGTTGCAATTACCAAGCTTATTATGATGCAGATCTCTGATATCAACAAAATCATGGCTGAAAGGGCGATGCTTCGGAGCTTGCCCGCTGTAAGTGTTGGATTCTTTATTTGTAGAATCCTCTCTCGCAAAAGAGAACCTGGATTGATTGCTGTTTTGTACTTTCCAAGCACTCGATACTCTAAGAGATCCCTGCTGTTTATCAGTTTCACCCAATAACCTAGCCAAATTTTGAGGTGAAGTTAGCGACTCATCCCATGCTTCAAAGTCCATCGACAAAATATTTGATATAATGCTGCTCTCTCCCATATCCCTACCAGGGTTGTGGTCAACATTGGCTATTTCACCTTCTAATCTCCCCATATGCTTCCTTCTCTCTTCATCTGGAAGCAAATAGGAATTAGCAAAGGTGCAGTCCAAATCAGCAGAACTTTTGACTAGAGCCTCAGGGTATCCATTGGATATTGAGGGAATACTAGATGCCTGCAGAAGTGAACCTTCAGCAACTTTCTGATCTACCACTTGGGAGTCTATATTGACACTAAGTTTCCCATAAGCCTCTTTATTCTGAGAAGGATAACCTCTAGAATTATTTAATAGATATAATGAGTGAGATGAATTAGGTAAATAGCTTGTACTGGTCACAACTTCTGGATCCTTAACTCTCTGATCATCAAAAGAAAACAAATCCTCTTCCACTTCACCCAATGCAACTTGTGCCACACGGGTTTGCAAATCAGACCTCAAATCTGACGGTTCTCTTGCAACATTATTATTCATGGTGGATGGCTCAGCCGTCGCAGCTGCAACAATCAAAGGTTCTCTAAACTGATCTGTGTAACTTTGTTGGGACCCTTGAGGTCTATCAATCCTCATCGACGACATATCAGAGCATAGAATCGGAATTGTAGGGTCCGTAACAGCATTTAAATCTTTTTCTGGACCACCGTGACCACAAGACTGCCCACACAGGTCAACAGAATTTAAAATATCAGGTGGCATACAAATATTTTTATCTTTATCCTTGAATGCAGTTGGGTGACATAGCTGGCTGTTCATAGTTGAACTAGCGGTATATACTGGGATAGCAGGAGTAGATTCTGGCGTGGCAGGAGTTTCAGATGCAGTTGTTTGACAATCTGTGCCCATGTGCTGTTGCACAAGTTCCAATGTCTTAGTTTTACAATCATTTTCACCAATACAATTTTCTTCACTAGGAACAGGCTTCTTTCCAACATCAGCATGCAATAAAGAAACCTGAGTTGGGCTTACAACTGCCATTGAAAATGCATGTGAAGCACTGCATGTATCAGGTTTCTGCTTAAGAGGTCCATTTGAATATGCCAAACTTGCAAATGATGGCTGATCATTTGAGGCACGCATTCCCCTGTAAGCATATCAAAATCTTTTAAGACAGGTATCCAACATAAATCCAAAGAAAAAGCAGCCGATCAATGGCATACCATGATGCAGCTACTGGAAGAGCAACGTGCCTCCCAGAGCTATTATTAGGAGGAGAACCTCGGAAATTGTTTGGAGAAATCTGCTAGAGAGATGTAACCGAAATATTGTAAAAATCAAGCTCCAGAACACATTTGAATGTCATCACAAAAACCAGTAGAATGTCAGCTAGTTAATATCTTTCACTACAATTATTCAACATCGTAACATAGTGGATGCTCATGATAACTTCATATGATGAATTGTAATATCCCAAGTCCATTAGAAAGCAATATTTCAAAAAACCCACAGCCTAGGGCACATCATTAATTTCTTCTGGGCAAGGACAATGATCAGTATTAAATATTAAACAGAAAATCTTACATTTGTCAAACTTTTAGTATTAGGTTTTCCGAAGGAAGAAGAGCTGTCACTCCAGTACTCATCTGATGGTGGTGGTAACACGTTCCCTGAACGCCGTTGCATATTATTTGTAGCACCAGTAATTTGTTGAACTCTACTCCTTTAAAATCACTACGCAAGTTAATTAGCAATCCAACATCACTGAAAGAACATCCAATTGACAAGAAAAAAAAAGCCAAACAAAGCATTCCTTGTTTTCCCGTACACACAACAGCATCTACTCAATGATTTTAACACATGCCTAAACATGAAGTGTTTCTCATTGGATAAGGCCAATCCAGTAGAGGTAGGTATAACCCAAAAATTCCAGTCTTGGGCAAAATAATCCCAGATCCCATTTGAGTTTGATTGCAGTATCGAAGCTTTGGGACCAAACCCAAACCCAATTTAGTGAATCAGGTTCAACCCGATTTCTCACCAATTTAACTTGGATTCAGCCCAGGAATGTAGAACGAAAAAAATGAAACACGGTATAGATATGACAAATTAGGGATTAGGGTTCTTGTATCCTATTTTCTTCTCTCACACTGCTGCATGCTCCCTTTGCACTCTCTCTTGCCAAATATCCTCTCTCATTAACTCTCTCATGCTGAAGCAGAGGCTGCACGTTCTTCGACTCGTGAGCCTTGGACATTTCCACTGATAAACTCATCAAGACAGCACTATAAAAAGATATCTTTTTACATAGTTCTTTGGTCAGGCATTTAGATTCCACATGCAGCTTTGCTTTTCCTTTGATTAACAGAGAGTACGTTATACAATATGTATGAGTTGAATGCACACTTTTATGGCTACTGTTTGGGAAAGATTTCCTTTGAGAAACATGTGATTTTTGGTTCTTGTTTGTTCCTATTTTTAACTTCATGAATATGCTCATGATGCTCGCTGAACTGGTCCAAATCCATTTATACAGTATTGATGTAATGTTAGATTTCTACAAGGTCCAGCAGAAGCCAGAATCTTGGGCATAATATGGCATATCTTTTCAATTTGTGACCCAACTTCAACCCAATTTTTGCCAGAATTTAGTTACCCGAGTTCAAGAATCTAAACACAAGCAGTACTCAGGTTGCAGGATCTGGGTTGAATGTCAGTTTCAGGTTGGGCTCAGGTAGAGGGTTTTATAATAATCTGTGTTGACCTCTCAATCCGTCCAACCTGACCAAGTTGCACCCCCAACAATTCCACATCTACAATAATTTCAAATACTTTCAAAATTTAGAAGATCAAAACAGAACGAAATGGAAAAATATGGTGACAACAATAATTAATAATTGACCAGAATATAAGAACTGAGATAGCACAAAAGTCAGATTTCAAAAACTAGAAAAGACTAGGGCCTGTTTGATTTGCGTTTCAAAAAATAGTATCTGAAAATAGTTTTTGAGAAGAGTTTTAAGAAAGTGGTTTTGATATTTTTTGAGATAAAAAACTTGTTTGGTTAGATGATTTCAAAAACAATTTTACAGTACAGAAAATAGTAAAACATATTTGGACAACCTAAATATATGTTTGAACAGTAATTCAAACATTAATAAAAAAATATAAGAAAGGTATTTCTCGATTGACAATTTCATTAAAAAAAATTCAATAAACTAAACTTTAAAATATATATATATATATATATATATACACACACACACACAGATCGGTGCTCCAGTGTCTTTAGATCTGAAGAAGAAGACAGGGACAAAGAGAGACGTTGGAAAAGAAGACGTCTGGAGAGAGAGAGGAAGAAGAAAAAAAAAAAAAAAGAAGAAATTTGCTGCTAAAGAGACTCGAAGGGCAGGCCTCGTTAAAGTCCAAAATTGTACTCTCTGTTTCCAAAATTTTCAAAGAAAACTCTGAAAACAAGTTACACTTGTTTGCTGTTTCTTTGACTCAAATCTCATTTTTTTTTCAAAATTTTGAGAACAAAAATGCTAAACAAACAAATTTAGGGTATTTTTAAAATTTTGAGAACAAAAAACTGTTTCTGGATCACAAACCAAACATGGCCCTAGTTATTGTGCTCCAATTTCAATACCCTCTCAACATTTTCCACTATGTACAAATTTTGAACATATTTCAGTAAAAAAAATAATAATCGGATGATTTGCAATCGTTTCCTAAAGTCTTATATCCTTTTCACAATAGTCGTAGAGAACCACTTGTTACTCATTTGCTTAGCAAGGACATGTAGAAAACATGGTGGACAAGTCTTAGTCTTCTATTGTGAAGAGACAAAAGAATGGACTCTCATATATCCAAGTCATGACACAAGTCACCACAAACAACACAAATGATAAATAAATTATACTGGCAGGGGAACTGATTACAGAGATTAAAAAGGTTGAAATTGTGGCAACACCATAATCAGTATTTTCCTGACTTTCTCAGCATGTTTCTCAAATTATGTAGCACCTAATATTCTCTCATAAAGAACCAAAACTCTTTTCCAAGCTGTTTAAGAATTCATGAAACTTCTCTTCAATTTTCATTATGGTCTGATAAGCTCTTAAATTCAATCACCAATCAACATGGGCTTCAGGAGCAATACCTTTATATGTACTTGGAAAAACAGACAATTTGGATGATATGTAAGTACCTTGTGTAAGCTGATATTATTTCATCTTTAGTAAAACTATCATCTTGAGAACCAATCTCATGCAAGTATAAACAATCAGGATTGCTGCAAGGCTGGACCACAAAAATTCCCAACACTTCAAATATCAATCAATTTCCCCCAAAACAAAGCATTCTATAAAAGAGCGTCAAGGAACCAAGACATCAATTCCCATTCACTTAATTATTCAAGGATCATACCATGCTTCTAAGCCACGCATGACAATATTTTGTGGTTCCAAAGCAAGCCCTGCAACAAGAAACTCAGCAATTATATCAAAGTCATAAAGATAGGATTGTGATTCATAAATGTAAATGTGTGCCCACCTCAAAGGTCTACCCTCCAGTACAAATCCATGTACAGATTGAATACAACGAACGGCTTCATCCTCCTTTGAGTAAGTAATATATCTGGCCCAAACGAAACAAGTGACAACAGATAAGCATGACAATTTGACAAGCCAACAGATCAACAACCAGAAAGACTTAAGACGATGAACTGCACCCCTTAAATTAGAAGGGCAATACTTGCTATGATTCTTCGTATGTACAACATAATAACATGATCTGAAAACTCAACAGCACAGGCAGAAAACTTCATAAAGCAATTTGCTATATCAAAATTGTTGACTTTAACATTCAAACATTGAGAGCACTTGGAACTTACACACTACAGGTATTGTTTGGGAATTGTTGAATAGTACCAGCTGATGTCCGTGATATAGACACTTTCAGCACCTTCCCATACTGACCAAAATATTCTTTGTGCTGAAGAAGCTGCTTAACATATTAAAATGGTGTTCAAGTACCGCACAGATATATAGATGATAGATAAAGTGGGAAACAATAGTAAACTACATACATCTTCATCTGCTAAATTAAGAGGTAACCCCACAATGTAGACGAGGTTTCGTTGAATCACTCGCACACTGCCAAGTTGCTTCCTTCCTTCAGAAGTTTTATTTTTTGCCTTTTGAGATTTTGATTTTCTCTCTGTATTCCTCTCAGCCACCAACCTGTTAGTATGATCAGAAAGGCCACGGACACAATCAGAACAATTAGTAAGTTAGATGAGTAAGCAATGTCAAATCATAGAGTTTCATTCTAAAAAGTATATTTGGAGAATGACCTTCCACAGTTTGCTGCCGTCCCTACAATCTTTTCCTTGTTATATGGCGTACGACATGCTGGACATCGCCCTTCCGTGTTATCCTTCTCAGCCATTTCCATTATGTGATGCCAGCACCAAACACAGATCTACAGATGGTGGAAGAATCCAGGTATTATCTCAATAAAAGCAAATTATGACCACTACAAAGTTGTGCAGTTAACAGTTCAATGTTGAAGCTACAATAGGATACCTGATATATTGCACCAATCAGTCAACCTTTCTTGTCCTTGAACTTTTTGTGCTTTGCATGCACTTTCTAGCCATTTTTAAGTTCTTTTAAGCACCAAAATTTAAGACGGAATACTTCAATTATAAGACATGGATGACTATGTAGAAGGGATCATTTTGGATCTAATAAAACCTATAGCTAGGCATTACCGCACAACACAGTGCAAACTGAAAGAATTAACTAACTATAAATTTTTTTCTTATTGAGATCTGGACTCGAAGTTCCTTGTACATCAAACAAATTTACAAGGTTGAAAAATCAAAGCATGTTGTCCGGATATGAATGTTTCAGTGGCCAATTATGATGGAATTTATAGCTTTGCCAGGGAAACAAACACGACCACTTCTGCAACTGCAACATTAAGGCACTTCAAATATAAAGCTCAAATATCCCCACATACAGGCTCAACAATCTACAAAAAAACCTCCAAGCACGTGTTGCCTTTTTCTGAACTCTTCCCAACCGCATCACTCAAATCTCAAGGAGACTATGGATGCCCTAGGCCTATTGTTGCGGCAGAAAAAACTTATAACTGGTTCACCAAGATGATTCCAAACTTATAATGGGTATTAGAATGATGAATATTTTGTCATTCATGATGTCATTCCTCATGACAGATTGCAAGGCATGTGGTTCTATAGGAAATAATAGCAAACAAGCATATGAAAATCTGATCAATAACTGGACCAAACAAAATTAGCATCTTGAGTTCAAGATAATGGCATAGTAAAGGTTATTTCAAGTTACAAACAGATACAACCTTAATCTAGCCGTTACACATAAGTCAGTAGATGCCACAAATTCTTATTAAATAAGTGGCAGGCATGATAATTTGGGTTGAATTTGAGAACTACTTGAATCAAGTAATGTCAAATGTTTAATCTATATTAATTAGTCCTCTAATAACCCTTATTAACAAGGACCAACACTGGGCAAAGGCCTTCATGGCCATCAACTTACTAAAATACAGTGGCCAAGAAGGGAAACAAAGATGACAAAGAAAGGTAATATTGTCAACCTATTGTAACAGCAGAGAAACCATTTTAATTGGACTCAAAAATAACATTCTACATGGGCTCTCAGAGGATAAATCAGATGCCCAAAAGCAAAGTAGCTCTTCTCTATTAAAACAATAAGCAGCTCCTTGACCAGAGAAAAATTGACAGCTGTAGGACCACTTTTTGAAAGGTCTCTACAATCAACCACATCAGAAAAATTGGAACTTCTACTACATTGCCCCTTTGCTTAAGCAAATAAGCATCCAAATCTAAATATGGTCTGAAACTGGTGGCAAGTAGGCTACAAAAAATCAAGTCACATGCCTTGTTGCTTTAACATCAAAGGATATGGAACTAAGGGCCGTACATACACTTGGGTAATATAATGTAAGCATATTTAACTACTACATTATTAAGTGCAAAGGTCAACCTCAAAATACCACATAAACCATTTTATCATTTTTCACAAGAAATGACAAACATAATCACATGGTAAACAATATTGGAAAGGTTGCCAAAAAATCTACCATGTTTACTGGTCCAAATTATTTAGTCGGAAAAAAATCCATACATAAATAATAACTACCATAAAATATTTCTTGGTCGGTACATAGGGAACAAAACATGAGTGGCAAAAGTAGCAAATTTAACAGGGATACAGAAATTAAATGTCAGGTTTCATGCAACATGCGAGAACATTTCTCAATAATGACAAATTGTTAAACCTCCAACAAAACCCATTAAAGGTACAAAAAGGGTCAACTACAATGATTCCTCTATTTTAACTTAGATTCCAAGTGCTATGGCAGAAACAGCCCTTAATACACATGTATGATGACAGCCAACGTAGCGGTGGCATCACAACGTGCTTACTACTGGACATCCACCACAGGTCCCACATTGAGGAAACTATAACCACCTTAGTATGCAACTGTCACGTAGATTTTTTACGCTGAGAAACTGATTAAAGTTATATCCACCACTAGCACAAAGTGATAAACAAAGAGAACATTATTGTATCCTACCCGTTATTATTAACTAACATGCTATGTTCTTCAGATAGAAAGGAGTATCCAGGCAGTAAATAATAAAAAATGGCCCCGGTTTTGAAGATGTTTCATACAGTTCTTATATAAAATAAAGCAAACACTACGAGATTAATAGGATTCCAGACATTAACTACTTGCCCTATATAGCCATAGAGTGGTTAAAATTTTGTATAGTCAACAACCTCTCAATAAACTGAACTAAAGAAAGAGAAAGTTCACATCCCCCTAAACTCAAACAAAGGCATATGTGTATTTCAGGGAAACGGGGGTTCAGACCTCATAACCGCACTTGCAAGGCTTCAATTGCTGGTCAGTCAAATCCATCTCTTCAGCACAAAGAGGACACGTCTTTTCTCCCTGGTCGCTCATGGTTGCCTAAAGATTCAATAAGAAAACCACAAATTAAAAGAATCTAAACAAACCATTCAAGTTCCCAAACAATTTACTAAAAACAGTAATCTTACACAGCTCATTCAACCAAAACTGACAGTAAACAAAAGGTATTTAAGTCACCACAATTTTACCTGACATGCAACAGGAAATCGACAATGACCAATTTCATAAATTCCACATTCATGTCATCGAAAATAAATAATATCAACACCACTAATTTTTTCTTAAGAAAAAAAAGTAATTAAGAACAAATAAAGAGAAAGATTCAACATCCAAGGAGTAACAAATCGAACAGCAACTAACTTTATTTTCCCAAATCCCAAATCAAACCCATTAAACCTTATCCAATGGACCTCACCCACTTTTTCAACTAAACTAACCGTTCACACACATCGATCGTGAGTAGAAACAATCACAACATGAAATCAAAGCTTTGATTAAATCGAAAATAAATACAATCAGACAGAACAAATCACATCAGATCAAAAATTCAACTCCACAGTCAAAACCAAAAAACTTTCTTGAATTCTAACTCGACGGCCAGAACGTCAAATCCCGATACAATCCACTACGAAACAGCAGATAAACTCATAAATCAATACAAAATCAGATATAGCAATGGAAAAAACAAAGCCGATGAAAAGAAGTATCCAAGATTGGGGATCTGATCTAAAGCAATCAGTTGTTAAAATTAGGGTTTAAAGATTGAATTGAAAAGACTTACAGCGGACGACGGATGGATAAAAGGACGAATCGGAGAAGATTAGATTGCAGAGAGAAGCGAGCGATATAGAAAAAGAGAGGGAGACAACCACAAGAAGGCCTGTAGAGGAGAGAGACGAGGGGTAGGTTTCGGATGGGGCTTTTTTTTATGCAGCTGCGTTTCTCTCTCAAAGGGGTCGCTGTCTTTTAAATATAGGGTTAATTGCAAGTTGTACCCCAAAAGATAGCGAGAATTTTGTATCCTAAAAATTAAAATTTTTAATTTATACCCTCAAATATAAAAATTTATATCAATGTGCACCCCCAAAGATAAAAATCTTAATTTACACCCTTAAAGATAGAAATTTGTATCAATGTGCATCTAAAACTAAATTGATAAATTATACCTAGTTCCCTCATGTTTGTTACTTAATTATTTGGACTCCTTCACATTTAGAATATTACTCCTACATCTCGTGACGTTTGTACACCTTGTAACATGTAATCCTTTTTTATTGATATCTGTTAATATAATCATTAAAAAATATGATTTTATCCTAATAAAAAATTATAATTTCATATTACCCTTTATTTTGTGGGTTCGATAAACTCTAAAGTTTAAAATCGAGTTTATCATTGGACATTATAATTTTTTATTATAATAAAATTATATTTTTTAACGGTTATATTAATATATATCAATGAAAAGAGATTACGTGTTACACATGCACAAACGTTATGAGATGTAGGAGTATTATTCTAAATGTGAAGGGGTTCAAATGGTTAAATGACAAGCATGAAGGAATCTAAATATAATTTATCAATTTAGTTTTAGGTGCATATTGATACAAATTTTTATCTTTGAAGGTGTAAATTGAGATTTTTAGTTTTTGGAGGTATATATTGATATAAATTTCTATCTTTAAGGGTATAAATTTAAATTTTTTATCTTTAAGGGTATAAATTTAAATTTTAATTATCTTTCAAGGTACAACTTGCAATTAACCCTTAAATATATGTGGAAGTGTGTTAATGCCCTTGGATTCTCTTATAAACTACCATGATACGCGTCTGTCCTCCCTGCTTTTGTCGAGCGTTGGAGACGGTTGTGATTGTGGGTGTATAATGGCGGATTTGCCCTCCACGGTGGCATTATAGGTGGTGGTGGTGGTGGTGCACGGCTCTTTCGGTTTGCATGCGGCACTTGTCGGATATGGTTTTGTACTGGGAGTTTTGCCCGAGTAATGAACTTTTTGGAGGCCACTAGGAGTGTAGGGTACAGGTATTAATTGAATCGACTTTTGTAACCTTGAATTCGACTTCGAGTTTAAAATAAAATTCTGAAAATTTTGATTATTTTATTTATAAATGAATTTAGTTGTATGAGTTTGAGGCAATATTTTTAGATTAATTTTTTTGAACGAATTTAAAAAATTATCTAAGTTTCACTCGTTAAAAATATGAGTCAAACTCAAATCAAGTTTCATCTTAACCAAATTCGAGTTGAACCCAAGTAGCTTGTAGGGTCGGCCCAAGAATACTTGACCCTACGAGCTACTTGAGGCCTTAGGCAAAAAAATTTTATATTGGGCCCAGAAATTACTTTTATTTTTAAATATTTAAATTTATATCTTTTAGTAAGTATATTTACGATGAAAAATAACTTGAAAAACAAACACCTTATATAACTGATTAAATTAAAATTACCTTGACTCTGAAATCATATGTCAAGAAAATATAATTGTATAAATAAGCTCGAGTTATTGTAAATTCAGATAAAATAAGAACATAGAATCTTATAATTTTTTGTACAAGAATATGGTGCGATATATTTTTTTCTTTTTTGAATGTACATATATTTATAATTTAAAGAACAATATTTTTTAATTTTATAAAACATGCGCGAATGAGACCCTAGACAAGTGAGGGGCTTAGGCGACTGCCTCCCTTGTCTTAGTAGAGCCTGACACTGATAACTCGTCCCAATTAATATTCATAGAAGTGTCTCGAAATCATATTGTCTAATATTATTAGTTCTGAACTAGGTATTATTTAATAATATTCAATTTTTGCGAATGCCCACCTAGATTTAAAACAAACGGTATATTAATCGTGTAAAATTCTCATCTCATTTAATCTATATGAGATTGAGTTTTTGTACGGTGACGAAGCAAATAGAGTTTTTTCTTATGATTTAGTCTACTAAAGCAATTAATGAGACCTGGTATTCTTCTAGATTTTGTAATATAAGGGCAAAATTGCTGTACTCCTATTGAAAGCTAAATTGATTCGATGAATTTGGACAAATGCTTTTGAGTTTTTAAATTTTGAAATATAATAGAAAGTATATCATTGCCTGTAAAAGTGGGAAAAAAACTGTTTTACTACTTTCCTTTAGAGTTGACAATTTTTTTGTTTTAAATCTTGCCTCAAACATTAATCAATTAATGCAATATTCGGAGCCAAAGAATTATTTAATTACATTTTAAAGCATTTCTAACCCTTACTTTTTTTATACCCCACTTTAAATATAGGTAAAAATGGTCTACAATGCTTCTCTAATACTAGACGCATATTCATATCAAATGAAGGGAGACCCTTTTAAAACATAAATGAAGGGAGACTCACATTTATATCAAAATCTTTAATTGTGAGATTTCACCATCCTTTAATAATTCAATAATCATATTTTACCTTCTTTTAAGTTTTAATTTGTCCTCATTTAAATTTGGATATCTTTTCCTTTAAATTTGAATTTCTCTATTGAAGAGGTTTATACTAAATTAAGTTTTTTATTCAAATTTAGGTATGAGTTTGAATTTTCATTGGAGATAGCCTTAGATGTATGGTGTACCATGATATTATCAAGAGTAAACTATACATATAGTCTTCAAATTCTTATTTTTGTGTCAATTAAGCTCTTAATTTTTTTCTTTTGTTAATTAAACTCCTGAACTCGCTAATTATGTCAATTGAGTTTCTCTTTCTACCTCCGTTAGATTTTTCTAACAAAATGGCAAAGTGTGCCACTCACGTGACTAACTTGTAACTCATTTGTGTCACGTGAGTGGCACACTTCATCACTTTCTGTTAGAAAATCTAACGAAAGCAGACAAAAGGGATCAATTGACATAATTAGAAAGTTTAGTGACTCAATTAATACAAAAAAAAAATTAAGAATTTAATTGATAGAATAATCCTAGTTTGAGGGCTATATGTATAGTTTACTATTATCAAGAACTTGTGTTCTAGCAATCTCATGCAAGTCAGGTCGTCGTGTTTAGCAGGGGCAGAATTGTTATTGCACCACAATTTGGTGAGGATTATGGTAACCCAAAATATTAAAAAGTCAATTGTGAAACCATTATTATTAGAATCTAATCGCACTGGTTGGTCTGATCGGTTCAACAGTGATTTGTGACCCTAACCAGTCCGGTTCTCTAATTAGACTGCATAAGGAATAGAGCCGGATGAAAATTGCCAAATCGATCAATTTTTTGCCAAAACCATGAATCGGACGGTTTTTAAAAACCGGATTGTTCGATTCCACTCTATATATATAAAACCTCTTTTTTTTGGGTCATTTTGCCCTAAATCGTATAAATGATAATAGATGTAACAGATTTGAGGGCCTTTGCACTTCGCTTCGCAGTAGACTTCCCACTTAGGCAGCCCATTCCTCTTCTCCGTCTCCTTCCAAATCTAGCTCTTGAACAACAATACATCACAGATCTAGCTTTCGAATAGTCGAACAACAACACACCACAAATCTCCCCCTATCTCTCTCCACGCAAACACACCCACCACAGATCTCCTCCTATCTCTATCTACACAAACACACACCCATGTAATACACACAGAGTGTTGGTAAATAATACATAATTTACATAGTTATGGGTTCTTTATAAATGGGTAGGATTTGAGTAAATGGGTTCATTTTAAATGAGTTTTTTTCTCTCTATGTCAATTTGGGGAACTGAGGTCCAAACATAAGAGTGGTGGTGGTTGGGAAATAATGAATTGCCCTTAATACCCCTTCACTAACTCACGTGGCAAGCATGAAATAGTGATAATTGACACAGTGATTATAATTTAAAAGCCAATTTGATAATTTACTCATGTTGGATGGAAAATAGAATGAATAATTCATATATATTCTTTAAGTAAATTATTATGTTTTATAATTTTTTATTATACAATCGGTCCGACTAGTTGATCTAATGGTTGAACCATTGAACCGGTCCCTCTGCCGTCCGATCCGGTTCTAATAACTATGTGTGAAACCATATATCTATTATTGAAAATTTTGACTCAATAAAGTAGGGTGTGTATTAGGAAAGTTCAAACACATAGGGAGCCATTGTGTCTTTTTGGAGCAAAAGGGTTAAAGTTGAGGGTCTTTGATTCATCAATTCAACGCTTAAAATTGAAGACATTCTGCACTTTTTCAATTAAAGGTCTTTGATAATCAAAATTCATACCGTTTAAAAATTGTAGCAGCTCTAAGAGACTAAATTTTTAAGTAACAAGTCACCTACTTAAAAATCACTTGATGCTGAAAATGTTTATCATTAAGGATTTGTAAATTTCTCATAATATACATATTTATTCTCAAATAATTTAATTTCAATCCATTTTACACAACTTTTGACACCTACCACCGCCATCACTATCACCGCTGCTGCTATCACCACCTCCACTGTTGTTACCTTACCATCACCACCCCTCTATTGTCACTAGCACCCACTAGCACCATTATTATTGTTGCCACCACCACCACCACCATTATTGCCTCTACTATTGTCATTGACACCTTATTACCATCACTCACCTTTGTCTCCACAACCACTACGACCACTAGTCTACCATATTTACCACCACCTTATTGTCACTGTCACTGTCACTCTACTACTACTATCACCCTCATTGCTCTCACCATCCACGTCGTCATGGTTGCCACCACTAACAACTTTCATTGTTACCGTATTACCATCACCAACTTGTCTCTACCACCATCACGATTACCAGTCCACCATATCTATCACCACCCTTAATTGCCACCACCACTACCATTATTATTATCACCCTATCGCCGCCACCACCCTCATTACCCTCACCATCGACATCACCACCGATGCCACTATCACCATCACCACCACTCTATTATAACCA